CTATAACATAACCAATAGTACAAATATAACAAGACACCTAAAAACTTGACAGAGAGCCGCTAGAAAAGAGAGAAGGGGAAAAGCAATGCTTGGAGTACGAGGGCAACATGCAAAAAAGGAATCAATCGCTTCTAGCTATAGGCTGCTAGTAGAACCTTAAACGTCCGAGTAATGGTCGATGCCTCAGTTTGCGTACAAGGCTAAAGCGGGTATGATCCTAGTAAACGCGGAGCACCTTCGGTCCATGGATGACAGCACAGCACTATAAGTCACACCTGGTTGCGTTCCGTCTCCGTCCAGCCATCTGCCCATTCTATTCGTACTCGGTCTGTTGAAATCATTCACGCGCAGTCAGTTCAACTGGGGCAGACTTCCCGAGAAACTTGGAAACCCTACCAGAGGGCGCGACAAGATTATGTCGACAACATGTCGTCAATGCGAACTCGGGGCTCCGGAGTCTGAGATATCAGCCAAGTCGCTGAAATAGAGTCATATTGGCTCGCTAAAACCTGATGCTTAAGGCTGGCTAACAGACACCCGTCAACTTAGCTATTGCCTCCTGTCATCACAGTGGGTGCATCCTCGAACGTTGCCTTTGCTACCGGGGGGAACTCGTGTCCAATCGAAGGTTTCCACGCTCCTGTGACCGTCCAAATGTCGAATGTATGATCTGATGTCTCATGTCGAAATGAAGGATTTTTCCGTATGGCCACCCTCCATGCGCTTTGCTCGAATAGCAAGCAGAAAGGTACGGAAGATGCTGCTACCAATGCATCAGCATAGACTCCTATGTCCTCTTCGAACTCAAATTCTAATTTTTACGTAATACATTATTACATACCAGTATTTTGCGGGTTATTTTTTGTTGAAAGGTCACTTCTTTCTAGTTTCAGTTAACACTGTTACATCGTTTAAAAGTTTCCAAAATAAGACAAATTGCCAAAAGCATTTTAGAACTATTCTGGCGCCTTAACTGTATCGTAACATAAAAGAAATCATATCCATGTACTTTGAATAATCAAAACAGTATTTACCAATCTAAAAAAAGTCATTTTAATTGCCCTGTAATGGTGAAGTCCCGGGGTCTGAAAGCATTACTCTGCTAAAACGAAGATGTTAACCGCATACTTTGCAAGTAAATTTTTATAAGGTGTCTGCCTTCAATACAATTTCAAGTGCTGTTTTTATCTTATATCCTAACGGCATGGCTTCGGCCCTGCTAGCTCTACAGACAGTATTATAGACACACTATCAGTGTTTGCATCTGATTTCCACATGATTCAAAAATACGTCCTACCAATACCATTAATGTTACTTCAAGTGTGGGCATTAAAACAAAGTCGATAAGGTAGAATAATTTTGTTTTATCAAAGAGAAAAACTTTCGGCTTTATTAAAAAATGCATAGCTTAGTACTTGTTTACATTTATAAACCTGATCAAAAGGAACATTGGACTCCTATCAAGCTTACATCGCTATGGCAGCGCGTTGCTCACCTTGACGTGTGCAACGATAGCTTGAGGCCACTTTGATGTTGCGTGTTAATCAATTGTAGCTAAATGAGAGCAGATTTGATGAAACTTGTTGTAAGCGACGGAAGGGACGACAGGCATACTTATTCAATGTGCCAGTTACTCGTTTCTATCACGGTTTCAACCCTATAAGTTCCGTAAAACGTTTCTATTTCTAGTTTCAAAAGCCTACTTTAAATGTTTAACTAGCTTTTGAAAAATTCACACATTAACAGGTGCGTCATACTGCTAAACCGATCCTACTATTCACTATCGAAGTCATAAAACTTCCTATGATTTCACCACGGACTCTAGAATACGCAACAACAAGATCAACGCAATTGAGTCGTTTTGAAAGAACTATCATGACATGCTCCTTTCTTCTTTGGACAATACTCCGAATAAATAAACTGGCAAAAACTGTGAAAAAAACACCTACAACAGGAACGTCCTCCAGATCTCGGGCTACTTAGCGGCCATTGCTGTGATTAATTTCACATCGACAGCAAAAAGCTATCGGTGCAGAAGCTACGATCGTAATTTCCCTGTCGTGGTTCCTGTTTAGGTATATATGCCTTATTTTACATCTTCGATAGCTGCGTTTTCAGATTCAATGGAAGTCGATTTCGGGTAATCACGAGCTTTCGCTTTATAACCTTGGCCTGGGTTTATCCAGCGCGACCACACTTGATTCGCCAATTTTCACTTATAAGTTGAGGACGAACCTCCTGCCTCCGTTATAATTTGTGATTTCCCTTTGGAAAAAAAGGTTTTTTTTCTACTGCTAGAGGTAGAGGCATTTATTCTAATTCGTTGGTGCCATAGCTTCTAGAGACACTTTTTTTTAACACTGACCCAGATAAATAGCAAACAAGCTACGTAACAGCCTAATAGCCCTTATTTCATCTACTAATAAAATATCACCGAAGACGTCAACAAAGTAGAACTATATTACTATCGATTATAGTCAACTTCGTTTTGAAATGGAAAACATAACCTAAGGTAAGAATCTAATTTACATACCACAAGGTACCAATATTTAAAATAATGCTGGGTACATCGGTTTTAGTGTCTGCGATAAACATGGCTAGGAAGATGAGTCAAACGAAGACGCATATCTGTCAGCCGGAGAATCTATAAGACCAATCGACTATTTGAAAAGGCAATAAAACAACTTCATGATCATCTCAACCGGTTATCATATCATGCGTAAACAGAAGCCCAAGCAAAGTTGCTTGGCTTACCTTCGCGAGAGTGAAATTCCTATAATATATTCGCGTTGATTTGGTAATAACGTGATCTACTTGTCAATTTAGTAGTTTCTCTGTATCGTTACTTAGTCTAGCATAGGTCGGGCCGGCTTTCCTTTGCAAGAAGTCAAATTCGAAGGTAAAACTTTATATAGATTCCATTTAAAGGTTTAGTGGCGCCCTTCTATTAAAGGTTAAACGACTTCCCAAATATATTTTTTATTTAGTCTATTACATCCCCTCCAGCTATGTAGCTGTGATATCCAGCAGTTTCGCGAACGTTCCAAACGGTCAAGATAATAAGGTTTCGTCTCAAAGTAGCGACTTGTTTAGTCCTAACGTTTGCATGCCTTTCGTTACTGTATATAGTAACCTTTGCAGAGCGAATACGTAATATGTTATTCTTAGAATAACTTCCAAACTTATTAAGTTAATTAAGACAATAACCATGTCAGTACTACACAAAAATTGATTATACGACAAGACATACTAAGTCAGTATCACTATAATATTTGGAATACTTTATTTCATTCTAATCATTTTATTCTTTACAGTTTGATATCTTTACGCTTCAAAATTTCGAAAGGTATGATTATGTGATATGCATGACTATAGCCTTGTAGTTGAGATTTAAGGCATTTTGTATTCTCAGTTTTTCGTTTACCATAAAGTTATACTGCGATGTATATTTTATAGGGCATCTGGTAACGATAAAATAAAAACTAAGCTAAAATCGTGATTTCCAAATCACTATTGAATTAGTGTTAAGCTTATAATTTTGCATTAGGAGCTTCTTCATATCAGACAAATCAGACAAAACCAATGTGTAACGTATGCTCAGTGAGTGTGCGCGAGACGCGCATAGTCAGCGGTGCTTGTCAGCAGCTTAACTATCCTGTGATAAGTTGGTAATTTTTTAAACTATGCCGTCTAAACAGAACGCGTTTTAGTGACCTGTTTTGTGCGGATGGATTAATCAGTTTGGCAGTGCTTCCCCCCGACGTTGGTCAAACTTTTGCATGCGCAGTAGACGCATTTGCGGCGCGAAGAATACTATTATGTGAAAATGAGAAAGAGTAGGCGAGTGTGCGAGAGGTGATGAGATAACACCAGTGTCGAAGGCAGCTTCAACAAAGGATGAGATGGCTAATTCCCTTTAGGGCTCACTGCAAGCTGCGCCCGTCAGCCCGTAAACGCACACATGCACAAACGAGTCGCAACGCAAGTAGAGAAGATGAGACTGGAGACAAAGGCCGGTTAGGTTAAAGATAAGAAGACGCCAAAATAAGACAAAAGGCGCGTACAGAAGCGGTAAAAAGATTCTGAGAGTGCCTCTAGAGTAGAGGGACCTTGATAGGCTAGCTTTGCTAGAGTTTTGCTAGTAGCAGCAAGTAGAGAAGCAAAGCACCGGTTGTAGTAGCAGTGGCACTGAAGGAACACGAACATGTGGAAGAACGCGGCAGCGGCCTGTGGCTGATGACGTCAGGTGCGTAAATGTTCGCAGTGGTGGGAAGACACGCCGACGAAGAGATCAGGAGATCGTCGGATAAGTAATGGGTAAAGCGCTTACTTTAGTCACAACTTAACCACCGATACGCGCAGACAAAGATACACACACGCACATATGCAGGGATGCAAGAGGCACATCATGACACGCTCGATATATGTATATATATCACTCATATGAGGAACCCCTTGATTGCAGTGTTTTCTCGTGACACTGGGTTTTACTAATTCTATCATTGTATTATTAGAATGCATGCTATATTCCTTATATTTTCTGTTGATAATTCAAGTGTGGTAAAACTTATATAATTTATAATTTATATATAATTTATATAACTTATATATTTATATATATATATATATATATATATATATATAAGTTATATAAATTATATATAAATTATAAATTATGTAAGTTTTACCACACTTGAATTATCAACAGAAATTATATATATATATATATATATATATATATATATATATTATAAATTATATAAGTTATATAAATTATATATAAATTATAAATTATATAAGTTTTACCACACTTGAATTATGTTCTATTTAATTAAATTTTAAGATGGAAGAGCAGTGAAGCAGGGATGTGCATAGTTCAACAAAAAAAATATAAGGAATACAGCATGCATTCTAATATATATATATATATATGTATATACATATATACAAGTACTTGTACATTTTGCTCTGATTTATCACCAGCTGAGAACAATACTTACCGATTTTCATGACCGGCAGGTCTCCGGCCTGAACGAGCACTGTCGTGCAAAGAACGAGGACGAATGCAATCCACCGCATCGCGGTTGTTAGCGAGCGGGGTCCTGATCCACCCTCACCGCAGAACAGGACTCCGCACGAAAACTGTTCGCCCTCAGTGTGTTGGCTGCGGGTTGCCCATCAACTATCCCGCGTGAACTTCCTCGTACGACATTCGGCAGCAGGAGTAACTCACCGTGGCGGTAATCACTCTATCCAACATTGCTTCCATTGCGGAAATACGCAACGACCGTATACTTCTACCGCATCATAATCACACCCTTTTTCCGAAGCAACTTTAATGACGTTTAGCGTTTCTCTTGATGCCAAATCGTTGTTTGAAAAACTTATATTGAATTTCTTACAAGACGTGAAATTTCATATTATAGAAACACGTATTTTTACCTGTCCATTTTCAAAGGACTGTCTACACTCTCGCGTCTTTTTGAAATATAGCGTGTAGGTTAATCAGTAGCCTACAGATACAAATATTAACTGCTTGACACAAGGCTGGTGATGTAAAGTAAAGAATCACACCATCTCACCTGCTTTCTCTCGCAGACACAAGCTTACTATTGATTCTAGAGATTCTATTGATAGTACACGAATTTCGTAGGGATGCCATCCATCACCGTTTGTATTTCCTTAGACTGTTGATGGACCCTAAAAGGTGACCCTATCGGTTTCATTAACAGCTAGCTAACATTGTCTTCCATTTTTTGTTTATCACTTTTTGGACGATGGTCTTTCGCTAATCCTTTCGTCTTGATGCTTTTCTCCGTTTTATCCTGAGGTTATTATAACGAAACTTCACTTAACACGTTGCACGATCGCTCCTACCTCTTTTTAATGGAAATGCCCAGGCTGTCTTGGCGCCTTCAATGATATTGATCCACACAGACTCCTCTGTCACATACTTTTATCACATATACATCTGTATGTGTGACTATAACGATAGGCTAAAATTGATGGTCGTGACGCATTATAGGCCTTAGAGCATCCTTCCGTCGGCTGTGTTTTGCGTAACGCTCCTTCCCTATCTGCCTCTTTGGAGCAACTACCCTACGACACCGCCCTTTCCACCGCAAATGTGGAAAGCAACCCTCTCCGCGTACCCTTCCTTAGAGTCAGGGTTCTCATTCGCTTCGACGCCGCGTCCGCAAGGCGGCCAGTTCTTTGTTTCTCTGACTGCCTCGTTTTCTTTCTATTACTGCTGCCGCAACTATTGCCATAAGACTATACGATTTATTCCTGACCGGGCGAAGATCCGTATGACCGAGTTGCTATAGTCCTTGAAATATCGGTAATCTAGGTTCACACACAATATATGATGAAAACCACCTGAAAAAGCTTCGACTTATTATCTTTATTATCCAGAATTTCTACTAATGCCAGCAATTTAACACGAGTCTCTATATTCGTATACACTAGATATGTACATATGCACCAGTAACCTCAAAAATGACGCTAGTGACTAGGACTATTTATTTGTAAGTAGACAACGATATTAAAAATATTATAACAAGTTTTCCTTAGCCTAATGATTACTATCATGTTGACTTCGGGGCACCTGCTTTTCGTTTATTACCTCTTCCCACAATGAAATGCATCGTATTTAAGCCCGTTTTGCCTTGACATATGCACACCAAATCACTGTCTAAAAATTAAGGAGGTAATAAACCGATTTTATGAAATCACTTCGCATGAACTCCGTATTGTGTACTATTTGCATAATAAAAGTAATCACAAATCAAGAGCTTCTAGCGAGATAAACCACTAGAACATTTCAATCAAATGACACCAAATATAGTAGCATACTGGTACTTACAGAGACTACTAGGAAGTCCAAGCTCTGGGTGATACCTTCCTTTGAGTGGGCTAAATTTGTACTTGCCTTCCTAGCGATATCAAAGACATCTGAAATCCTCTTAATTATTTTTGACTAACATGTAACCATGTTGGCACGTTAACTACTTAAGCTAAAACTCCGAGGGTTCTCTTTGTGAAACTGCTAAAGAGTTATATCGTTTAGCAATCGCTGAGTTAATTGTGATTGTCTTGCGATAATATACGGGTTAAGCCAATGATGGACGGAACTAAGCCTGTAGAAATTGCGTCATTTTCATCTTAAGCCATTATCGAATCTTCCCCACTGCTTTAAGGACAAAAGCGAGGATTAAAGGACATTAAACAGCCTATAACCTCATTCAGTTGGTTTGTGTGTGCGTATGCAAACTAGTGTAGCCGACAGCATTTAACCCTTTTATCCAAGTAGTGGGCACAAGTGGCCTCAGGCTACCGATGCTGCAGCGCTATGGTTTGAAGGGAACGCTAATATTAATGGTTAAATAATGACGTTCGCTTGTGCATGCCACTCACCCACTACTATTACCCACTACTAATACCCACTCCAACTAAATGAGGCAACAGTCGGATACAATCGGCAAAAGTCGAGCGAAGCGAAAATACGTGATTGGGGGGTGGCGAAGCTAAGCGATATAAGACGACGGCAACCCTGCCCATTTGCTCGTCCGCCCTCCAGTTCGCAGCATACGAGTACGAGGCGTGTTTCCGTTCAGGATAAATCTAGGAAACGTTTAAGCTGGTCTCAACAGATAGCTGCGTCGTTCAATTAGTTGTTATTTAAACGATGATGCTACTTCTTCACCCAGGGTGAAGGACGTCATTAACGTCTATATTCTCGCTCTGCAAGGATCAAGCGATATTGCATAATATAATGAAAACGGTTTAATAGGCATGTGGCATTGCTGTGTACAACAGGAAAGCTGAACCTGGTGGCATGCAAGTATTGACAATCAGTTAACCCGTTTACAGGTCCCGAGCAAGCAATATCTAAAACTGGGCATAAACTTTGGTTTCTGTGTAACGCGTATAAAAGCTCTTTCCGAGTTATACTTCAACTAAAGTTATACTTCAGGTAATCTAAGTGTATTTCTGCGCTACTCCTATTTCATGTTACAATTAGCACAGTATTAGCTGAATAAATGCAATATTGTGACAAACCAATCAAAAATGGTAACCGGCAATCTGAGAATCACGTACTTGTGCATGATATTCTATGTAACTGTTGCCCCGCTAGTGATAAAACCAATGACCTGCTTTTCTCAAGAACAAAACAGGACGAGGAATAATATGATGTGGGTTAAACCTACTCTATAATAGACCTCATTAAAAGTAAACTCAGGTCTATTAACGACTAGATTTTCAAGAGACCTCCTATTTCTTGGCAAAGTTTGTTCGGATACACAGAAAAAGTAATATCCCGTTAAAACAAAAACTGGAAAACCAGTCCCGTCGGCTTAACTGAAAGATATAAATTATAGGTGTTTGCCTAGCGCACCTTTCTCAAAACTACTAAACTATGGAAACAGTACTGGAGCGGTAGTGCTGGACAAAAGAAACGGTAAATTTTGATCGCTCTGCCACAGATACATAAGCACCTATATTTAGTTGCGTTGTATGACAGGCTAGAATTACTGTACTCTATTTTATGCGATTTATGTAAAATATAATAAACAGTAAGTTATCCAAGGGACAATTCAAGAAGTGAAGTGCACGTTCTAGATATAACAACGTGATAAGGTAACTTACTGCTTTTCTTTCAAGGGATTTGGTCTTTATAACTGCACTAATAGAATGTAGTTTTCTACTTCATTCGTCATAATTGTATTTTTCTATAGTCATTGAAGGTTACTATTAGTTTATGTTGCTAATTTAATATTTGATTTAATTAAAAGCTAAAGAATAACAAACCTATGTTATTGAGAACTGGGTCGTTTATTTCATTTATCTACCTAGGAATTTAGCCTTCAACGCAAAGCATAAATATGGCGGTATTAAGATCATAACGTAAATACAAACGTGACTTAATGTAGTCAACAAAGCTCTAAACAGAATCTAAGTTGTAATAATAGTTATGATGAATTGTCTTAAATATTTGTACTCTGCTTTTGTTACAAAATCCGAAATGTATTGATCCGATTTGTCTTGTTATAATGGTCTCGAAATTTTACTCTAACATCATTAGAAAGGGCAATATGGTTTAGCAAATAGTGCTCCCATGAATATGCTTTTCTAACCGCCTCATTGGGTTCTAAACTTCGTCGTGATGAATTCGCGGTCCCTTCAATTAAGAAAGGGGTCCAGAACAGCTTTTTGCCTTATATAAAAAAGCAGGCTAAGGCCAGTACGTGTGAAAATTTCCTAGTATTTTGTATTTTTGTATTGTAAAGATAATTTTTATCATTTCGAATACATTTTGCTCCTGTGCGTGCTTTGTCTAGGCAGCAGTTACAAGACCATCGATGGACGCCCTGATCCAACGGGATCGCTGTTTCGCGCGTTCACCTGGATTCGTTTTCGGCTACATCTCGCTTCTCGATCTTTTCGTAATGAGGCCCCGTTTCGGCCACAGCATCAAGTCTGCACAGGGCGTCCTGCTTCCGGAGATTTAGATGATTCGGTAGTAATCTCTCAGTAGTGTTTATCGGTGCGGAAGCTGTGGCAACTACAGAAACTGTACCTGCTTTTCAGGCATCTTGCCTTAAACAGCCAAAGCTGACCACGACCTCTACGCTCTCGCGTGACAAGCAGTAGGAAAGTGTGCTTTTGGTACCCGACTAGTCAATTATCCCCTCAGTCAAGGAGCTGCAACACAGGCTAGCAGTGATCTTAATTGAGCTTAACTGTAAATCAGTAACGCAGGGTATGTCACGCGATTCGTCGCCATTTTCGTTCAGCCCACAATAGAGGCCAGGATGCTGAGACAGAAGCAGATGTTCTCTGAAGCAAAGCGAATCCTGAAGTGTGAGCAGCAAGACAACACCAGCCAATGAAGAGGACGACGACACACAAACGTTAGCAGGTGACGAGCCTTACAAGTACCTCTCTGCCTAGACCTTACATCCGTTTGCCTGCTTCAGCTGCCTCAACTGATACTACCCTAAAGAAAAAGGACATGAACAAATTAGAAGGAGGCAGTGCCGCTGGTAGCTAGCAGCCGCTTAAATCATTCTATCCGATTCTTGAGTACTGAGAAAGCAGGAACCACAGTGTATGAGTGCCCCTGGAAGTTGCCTTTGGCCCCGCGGCAAGAAACGACGAAGACGCGCTCAGATGTAGGCGACTCAACGGCAGTGCAATTGGCAGAGACATAAAAACATGATGTGAAAAAAGTGCCAAAGTGCACGCATTGCAGAAGAAGTGGTATAGACGCGGCACTCAGTACAAGAACGCTGTATAGCGTCATTGTCGACGTCGCTGGAAGCCTCTGCTAGAGAACGGACAGTCTAATCAAGTCGTTGAGTCAAAAGCAGATGTGTACTGTTATCTGGAGTCTCTAACCATGTAGACTGTTTGACTCCCTAAAAAGCAGTCATACTCAGAATACAGTTAACAAATATTTGATAAAAAATAATGTTAAGTCACAATATATACTGAGTTGCATTGTTGGGTAATTTGTAGCGACAGAGCAAGCTATTTCATTTTTTACGTGGCTCAAAAAATTAAAAAATACTTATCTTCTAATGTAACTTGGATTTGTATTTAGAAGAACAGAAATTTAAAACTATATTACTTTTAAGTAACAGACTAGTAAAGGCGAATATTATCAGAAGTGTAAACCACATCTTATTGTATACCTATTAACTCCGCATTACACTAGATTTATTTCTATACATTACTTTCTGTTCAGGTACAGCAGCCTTGGCAATTTTTTTAATCTTAACTGTATATAGTTCTTCGAAACCCTTTATAGATTTTGTGACCGATGAGCGCTTTTTAACATTCTCTTGAATACCCAATTATAAAAAGGGCACAAAGGTTACTTCCACCGACGACAGACTACAAATCATCTTTACAGCTCAAATAGCTTCCGCATAAGAAGACTGCCAATGAGTCCCGGACTATAATTTCCGTCCGTAACGGACTTATTCAAAAACATTAACGTGACTTGACTATCAAACATTTTCTTTACCCTTTCCAACTTCCTGACCGTGTATTCAACAGATATATATATATATATATCCGTAGACGAGTCTAGCCGTACCGGGGCATTTAATATTATTATTCATAAATCTAAAGAAGAAACTTCTGAGAAATTATGTGTGAAAGGGTTACCCCGCATTGAAAAAAGTTTCGTAGCGAATGATCATATTCAATAAACGCATGCATGAGCGATTAACTTAGATATAGCTTACATTAGCTTATCCTATCTTAAGTG